CACCAGTGATGCTATATCATCTCTGCATAACAGTGGTGTTGTTATCATTCTCTGCTAGGCCTGCAGAATCTTTTGGAATTCAATGCCTAAGAAAAAAATTTCTTTTGCTCGTCTTAAATTTTTGGCTTTTGAATAATACTAAAAGCACGAGTGCTCAGGGCTCACTCCTGATGAGGCTGGGGGAACCATACAGGGTGCCAGGGATTGAACCTGGGTCGGGCACGCGCAAGGTAAGCACCCTAGACATGCCATACAATCTCTCTGGCCCCCAGGAAAAAGAGTTTTTTTAAAATGGTTTACTTGTCAGGGAAACTCTCCTTAGTCTATAAGTTAAGCAAATCATTACTACTTTAAAATAGAACTTGCACAAACCAAAACAGAACAACATCTCTTTCCAGATCATTTTCTACCCAAGATTTTTGTTTTGAAAAACCACTGATTTACAAATTAACTACTCACAGATTCACAAGGTTTACCACAGATAATCAGACAAGGATTCACTGAAGAAGTGAAATTTAAGCTGAGCAGAAAATGAGGAGCTAGACTGGACAGAGAGCCGAAGGAAAAGCATTGTGGGCTGTGGGAAGAAAAGGAATCAGATAGAACCTGGTAAGAATGAGAAGGTATACAGCTGGGGTGGACAGCCCAAAAGGGAAAGTGATAAGCAGTAAAATAACAAATTTCTTGACTTGAATCTGGTCACTGGTCCATCAAATCAGCCCTCCTTCACGAGGCTTTTAAATAGTAAAGCAGCAGTCTTCACATACAAAAATTCAAATAAAAGTGAAGGAAAATATGAAATGCTTTCAGATTAAGTAGCGTTGTGGTAAAGATGAAATTGCTAATTCTGAGGGAACTAGAGACTGATGTAGGGACGGGAGCCTCTACAAGCAGGTAAAGTGCTTGTCTTGCACATGGCTGACCCAGGTTTAATCCCCGGCACCCTACATGGTCCCCAAGACAGCCAGGAGTGATCCCTGTGCTCAGAGCACAGCAGAAAGGGACCCAAAAACCCCAACAACAACAACAACAGAAAGACAGAGAGGGAGGCTGGCACTAAGAGATCAGGGGTAACATGAATACTGCTGTAAATCTCAGTGCCTAAATAAAGGAAACTGGGACCAAGAGATCATTTAACCAGCTGAGTGCATGCTTTGCATGCAGGAAGCCCGGGTTTGATCTCTAATACTGCATGGTCTGAGCGCGGCAGGAGTGACCCCAGCACTAAGCCAGGAGTAGCCCAAGCACCACTAGGCATGGCCAATGTCCCCAAATTAAGTAAAACAAACAAGAGAGAATTTCAAAATAATTTCAGGGAGCTGGAGTGATAGTACAGCGGGGTAGGGCATTTGTCTTGCATGCAACCAATCCAGGTTCGATCTCCTGGCATCCTATTTGGTTCCCTGAGTAGTACCAGGAGTAATTTCTGCACCCAAAGCCAGGCATAACACATGAGTATTGCTAGGTGTGGCCCAGATTAAGTAAATAAATAACAATTTCAAAAGTTAAAAAATAATAATTTCTGGGGCTAGAGAGGTAGTACAGCTGATATGGCATTTGCCCTGCACATGGCCAACCCGAATTCAATTCCTGGCATCCCAGATGGTCTCCCAAGCACCGCCAGGAGTGATTCCTGAGTACAGAGCCTGAGCATTGCTGAGTGTGGGGGAAAAAAAAATAACTTCTGATTCCTAGGCTGGGGATGTGGCTTAGCAGTAAAAAGGTTGCCTTACATGTGTGAGGCCCTGAGTTTGATTCCTGGCAAAAAAAAAAAAAAGTAAACATGCAAACATCTGGTTTCTAACTGAGAACTCTGCAACCATTTTTCTGAAAACATTTTTACTATTTAAGTACCCTCCCGGACTTTCACTGAAGGGTTCATATTTTACAATTCACATAGTTTGAAATTTCTGTTGCTATAGCCACCCTGGGGCATTCTTGGTCTAAGGGGGAGGGTGTGGGGAGCAGGGGCCACATCCTGCAGGATTCAGGGGATGATGCAGTGCTGGGATCTGAACCGAGGGATCCTGCAGGAAGCATGTGAAAAGCATGTGCTTCAGCTCTTTAAGACATTGCTCCAGTGCAAAGAGGAGACTTTAAGTCTCCACATTAAAAAAGTAGTACTCGCAGAAAATCAAACACAGAATTCCTCCTGCCAAAGACCAACTAAAATTCTAAAGTAGTAGGTAAACCTGACCTGTGATCTTTCTTACAGCAAGACTGATAATAAGGTGTTGTGTTTGTGGTCCGGGAGTTGGCTCATCTAGCATTTATCAACTCGCTGTGCTTCGGGTTATGACTCTTTGCCCAGAGGTTGCAGTATGAAGAATTTATAGACATGTCAGAGAAAACAGAAGGTACACAAAGTCATTGAAGAACCAAATTTTAAAAATTCATGTGCTGGGCCCAGTGATATGTCTCTGTAGTAGAACACCGGCCATGCACGTGTGAGGCTGACAGCTCCATCCCTGGGGGCCCCCCCAAGTACAAAAAGATGTGATTCCCCAGCACTACAACCAAGTACTCAACCCCAACACAGCAACACAAAATAAGAATGCTACTCATGCAGATGTCTGAATATGCATCTTTTTCTTGAGGGTTGCGGGGGAGGCAGGGTTGAGGGGAGAATTTGGGGCCACACCCCATGATGCTCAGGGCTTACTGTTGGCTCTGTACTCATGGATCATATATGGCATGGGAACCATATGGGGTGCCAGGAATTGAACCTGGCTGGGTCAGCCTCAGGCAAGGCAAAAGCCCTTCCTGTTATACTAGAGCTCTGGTCCCCCTTTTTCCCTTTTTTTTTTTTTTGGCAGGGTGTCCAGGGGACCCGGGAGTCCCACCAACGACTGTCAACCTAGAAGAGATTAAATGTAACAGCCCCATAATTTGATGCTCCCAGGCATGCAAGGCATGAACCCTAACTGCTATACGCTCGTCTGACCCCCAACTGTGTATCAAAGGAAAAAAAGTCAGGAGCAGAGAAACAGCAGAGCAGGTGCTTTGTATGCCGGAGGCCCAGGTTCCATGCCCAACATCGCAGGGTGCCCCAGCCCCTCAGCAGGGACCCCAAGCATCAGACCTGGAACAGCAGCCAAATACTGCGGGGTGTGTCCCCAAAACAAAAACAAATTTAAAGTTGAAGCTTGGGAGATTAGCGCAAAGGACTGGAGCACATACTTTGCATGGGGCAGTCACAGACCCCTGAATACTGAGCCAGGAGTAACTCCTGAATAGAGGTGTGTCCCCCACCAAAAAAAAAAAATGTATTTTTTAAAACAAAAATAAATAAATAAAAGTAAAGAAATATACAATCTAGAGCCTAGCAGTATTATTTTCTAATTCTACAACCTGTGGCAGATGATCTTCTTGGCACATGTGAAACTGGCATTTTGCCTATGTTTACATGGACTGACAGAAGCTGAGGCTGGAGGAAGTATTTCTTCCTTCCAAGGTGACAGGTCATACAGGGCCAGCTCTGTTAGCATGTAAGTGTTTAATGTCCCAGTCTCCTCCATGGATGTCCACACACGGGCCAGGGCCAGCATGAGCATGTGCCTGCCACCTCCCAAGCATGACAGCCTCTGTTCCATCGACTGCGATGATGCAGGAGAAATTGTGATCCCAGCTTTCAGATCATTTTCCAACCCCACCTTCCCTATATTCTTGGAGATACTCTTGAATCAACAGTCCGTTTGGTCTGGCAAATTCAACGGTGTATTTCTGCGCCAAATGGACTGCAAAGTCACAAGAAAAAAAAAACTATCCCTACAGTCAAGTTTAGCATTATTTGATTTCACAGAAACAGAAGGTTTGAGGATGAAGAGATAATACAGTGGGCAAGGTGCTCGCCTTGCATGTGGCTGACCCTGGTTCCATCCCCAGCAACGCATATGGTCCCCCAAACACTCCCAGGAGTGATATCTGAGCACAGAACCAGGAGTAAGCCCTAAGCACCCCCAGGTGTAGCCCGAACATCACCACCATCCACTACACCGCGCAGCCCAAAAAGGTTTAAACGATGTGTCAGAAGACAGATCTCACACCTTTAAATATTTTCATCTTTGTTTATATCCTTCTTTAGTTATGTAGCTTCCCTGCAGCAGGCAGGAAGAGATGCTGCCTGCACAGAAGCGCCACAAAAATAAAGCCAGCACACCCTAAGAGTTAAAAATCTGGGATGCGTTCAAGAAGTGAAACACCAGCTGGGTGCACCCCCAGCGTGGCAAAAGACTCACAGAATCCAGGTGAGGGCACCAAGGTCACTGCCGCGGGGCCAGAGGCAAGCACCGGCCCAGTGCACCTGGAAACGGCAGCCTGGGAAGGAAACTTGGGCAGGAGCGGGGAGCGGGGAGCGGGAGGGCTGCCCAACCCCGCCCCCGGGGGGCCTCACGCATCCGCACCCGGGGGCGTTTGACGGGAACTGTCCAAGGTTAGAGCCCGGCACGGTGCAGAGCCACGCACGGTGCGGGGCAGCGACGGAGAGACGCTGCGCGCCCTGCAAGTGGCGAGCCTCGCTCCCCTGCATCCCAGCGCTGACCAGGTGTCCCCGGCGCGCACGGACGGGGCAGGCAAACCTCCCTCCCGGCCGGGAAGGGGCTGGCCGAGAGAGGGACACCTCTGGCTTCCCGCCGCAGCCCCCGGCGGAAGTCAGGAACCCGGGACCCAAGCGCCGGGAACGCGCTCCCCCCGCCCCCGCCCCGGGAAAAGTTTGAACCGCCAGCGGGCGAGCTCCCGGGGGTCGGAAACTCCAGCCGACACCCTCAAATCTCCGCCCGGGCCCGGCCCAGCCGCTCGGCTCCGCGCTCACGCCCCGCGCCCGCGGGGCCGGGCCGCTCCGCCCGACTCCCGCGCCGGCCTCAACCTCCCCTCGCGGCCGGGGCGGTGGGGGTGCGCGGAGCGGCGGGGGTCCCCGGCCGCCGCCACAGACCCGCCCCCGCCCCCAGGAGGCCCGGCGCGACCCCCGGGCGCGGCCCCCGCCCCCCGCCGGCGGCCCTCACCTCCTCGGCGTGCTTGCGCAGCGCCTTCTCCCGCTCGTACTGGGTGATGAGCTGCTCGTTGTCGTCCCGCAGCAGCTCCAGCTCCACCTGGTGCTCCTGGTCCTGCGCGAACACCGAGTCCAGGTTCTCCAGCACGGCCACCACCAGTGGCATCAGCTCTTTGACCACCTCCTCGTCGTAGCGCCCGATGAGCCGCTCGAACTCGCGGTAGATGGAGCCGGCCAGGCCGGACACCCGCTCCGACATCACGGCCCCGGAGCCGCCGGGCTCCTCCTGGTACACCACACCGTCCTCCAGCTCCATGGTGGCGGGCGGGCGGGCGGGCGGGCGGCCCGGGTGTCGCCGCCGGCCGAGGGGGCGGCACGGGCCCGCGCGGGACGGGCCCGGCTGGGGCTGGGGCTGGGGCTGGGGCTGGGCCCGGCGGGGTGGGGGCCCGGGCCGGAGGAGGGGAGGGGTGGGCTGAGCTCACTCAACCCCACGGCCGCTGCACCAACTGCCGGAGCGGCCGGGCCGCGCGCGCCGCACGTCACCCGCGGGGCGGGGTCCGCGCCGCGTCGGCCCGGTGGGCGGGGCCCCGCGGGAGGCCAGGCGCGGCGGGGGGCGGGGCCCGCGCGTCATCGGCCGCCGACGGCCGGCCGGTGACGTCAGCGCCGGGCGCCGCGCGGGCGCGGCGTCCGCCAATGGCGGGTCTGTGACACCCGTCCGCGCCGGCCGGGATTCGCCGGGCGGCTCCCGGAGGACGGGGCGGAGGCGGGGGTGGGTTCCGGAAGAGTGACTGGCCATCCCGATTTCACCTAGCCCACATTCCGCTGCCTCTGGACACGTCCGAAGCGCCTTTTGTTCTCGCGGCTGCTGGGCGTCCCCACCCCACGCGCCCCCGCCCCCCACCTCCCGGTGTCCCGGAGGAGGAAAGGATGCCCCGCAAAGTTGCCGTTCGCTCAAGGTCACGCGGCTAGAGAGGCAGCGCCAGGGGCCAGGGCGACCGGCGCTGATTGGGAAGTCCGGGCTCCCAAAGAAAGTGGGAAACGGAGGGGGCGGGGGGGGGCTGGAGCTAGCCAGGGCACGCCCTGCCCGAGGGGGACAGGGGGTCGGAGACCCGCGTCTGCAGGCACTGAGAGTCGGGCTGGCGATGCGCTGCGCTCGGCACCGGGGGACACTGAGGCACCCGCACGGAGGTCCGCCCGGGCCGGCTGGCCTTCCCTCCCCGGCCCCGCGCTGGCCGCGGCTGGGGGGGCGGGGAGCAGCGGCAGGGGGTGGAGTCACTGGAGAGAACGAGTCCCGTGATCCGAGGTCTACGCCGCCGGCCGCTGGGAATCACGTGCCGGGAATGACACAACGTCCCAGCCTCGGGCGGAATGAGTCTAGGCTCGCTTCCCAGAGTTCTCAGTTACCCTCTGCTCCAGGGGCGGAAGGCGCGCTCCCAAGTCCCCAGTCGCCGCTGCAGGTGACTCAGGAGTCCCGCAGCGTCACTCCTGGGAAAAGTGGGCGCAGTCCGAGATTCGGATTGGCAAGCGTTTTGGTAGGGGCGGAGTGGAGGGGTTGGGGGGCGAGGTGGGAAATCAGCTCCCTCCTGGAACCGTGAATCGGCCGAATTTGCATTTTAGCAAGCATGAGCTGGTCCGCAAAGTCTCCTAAGCTGGAACAACCTAGAGACCCACAAAAACGGAAAAGGTGTGATGCCAGAGCAGTCGTACAGCGCACTGGGTGTTTGTCTTGCCAACGTGTTTTCAATCCCCATATGGTTCCCGAGCCCCGCCAGGAGAGATCCCTGAGTGCAGAGCCAGGAGTAACCCCTGAGTACCGCCGAGTGTGCCCCCCCCCAAAAAAAAACAACAATGGAATAGGTGTTAGATGAAGACCATCTTTAAACTAAGGGAAACAGAAAAGAAAAATCCTAGACCATATCAGATGGGACAGAATTTGCTACCCGACTGTCACTTCCATCTTACCCCCCACCCCACCCCTGGGTCTCAGGAATGCAGTCAGCTGGGCGTGAGCCCTAAGTCCCCCTCTCTCTTAAAAACTTCCCTGCTTCTTGAAAACCTGAAAAAGTCTTCATCTGGTTCTTCTTTTTTACGTCTTTTTCCCCTGAGGGTTATCGTCTCGGCAATCTATATTTATACCGCTATTTTCCTGGGATTCAGAAGCACAGTACAATTTAGGACAAGGTTTTAGCATGTCTTTCTAATATCAGAAAATTTAAAGAAGGCTGGAGAAAGAGCTCAAGGGGCTGAAGTATACATGTCACAAAATTTGCCAAATTTCTATTGCAGGCACTGTATGGTCTGTCAGCCCCCCTGGGTGGGGCTGAAAATACAAAAAGATATAATGAAAGAAAAATTAAGAGTATATAGGGGCTAGATAATACATGGATTAAGTTACTTGCCTCACATACAATAGACCCTGCTTCATCTGGGCACAATATATGGTCCCTGAGCACTGCTGGATGTGCAAACCCAAAAAGTCATTTGCCTTGTGTGTGTGAGGCTCTAAATTACACACACACACACACATACACCACACCACCCCACACCACACACTTGATTTTTAGATGTGAGGGAATAATCATCGTATCATAGTATGCTATTTCAGGTAGAAATTCGACATAGACAGTAGTGAGGTCTCTATGTCTTGGACTTTAAGCTTCTGCTACTTACCAAAATCATTTTGATTACTTAAGATAAAATTCAACCAAACATGCCTGAAGCCTGAGTTGAGCATCAATGTACAAGTCCCCCAGCACCACCAGGTATACCTCTGAATACTTCCAGCACCTCTGGAAGAATTCAGTCAAATGTTAGGGCCAGAGTGATAGCACAGCAGGTAGGGTGTTTGTCTTGCACACAGCCGAAATGGGTTCAATCCGTGGCATCCTAAATTATCCCCTCACCACCTTAAGAGTGATTCCTGGGAGCAGAGGTGTGGACCAAAAAGAAGAATTTAATCAAATGTTCATCAGTTGTTGAATATAAAATGGAATATAAAATATGCATGTAATGGAGTTTTTCTCATTCAGCAATTGAAATAAAATCTGCCACAATGTGCATGAATTCTGAAATTTGGTTAAATATTGTATCCCCTACACAGCAGCAGGGAGGAAGCTAAGTGGTTAGTGGGGACATGTGTTTACATATCCAGTTATATGAGATGTAGCCCCAGCATGGCACCACCTGGCAAACCTCTCTCAAACCTCTCTCTCTCTCTCCCTCCCCCTTTCTCTCTCTCACACACACACACACACACACACACAAATGTAGTCTCTATCACCACTGGAGAGACCAACACCTCATCCCTCATAGGCCAGAGCACTGAACCACAGAGCCAGATTGTCCATATATTGCTGAGTGGCCTTGGGGGCTCCTCACATTGCTTGGGAAACACCCAAACTAGGAAAGAAATATGTTGTCAAAAAAACCAGTCACAAGGACTACATATTGCATGATTCCATTTATATGAAAACCGGACAGATAAGTGGTTTCCTTATCTCTCTGGAAGAAGGGGCAAAGGAAAACAAGAGTGACCACTAAAATTAGGTATAAAATTTCTGGGGCCATGGAGGTAGTTCAGTGGGTAAGTGCTTGCCTTATTAGATCCTGGCATCCCAAATGGTCCTCGGGATATGTGGGATGTGAGCCCACCACTCCTTGAGCACAGAGCCAGGAGTAAGCCCTGGGCATAGCTGGATATCATCAAAAATCAAAAGAATATATAAAAAAATTTAGTTGGGGGATAACGAAAATGCTCTAAACTTTTTTTTGTGATAGATATACAAATCTGAATATGCAAATGTCATTAAATTATACACTTTAAATCAGTGAATTGAGTGTTATATGAAATATCACAATAAAGATTTAAAAATTAAATATATGGCTATAATGACTTTATAATCAGCCTGATAGAAGGTCACATTTGGTAAGAGAAGGGAAAGAAGACAGTTTGAAATTGAGAAACTTGTATTCCAGCAGGAGATATTCATTTTGAATCATGTAGGCCAGAAATAAAAAGTGCATTGTTGGATTATTTACTCCAATAAGGACTTTGAGCCTCAGTTTCTCCACTTGCCTGAAGAGGTGTGTTATGGAATCTGTAAAGATAGCTTGCAATCCTAAAATCCTATTATGCTCATTTATAGGTGGGAATGAAAAGCAAGAGAGAAGGACTTGAGATTGAATCCCATTAGCCAACTCCTAATTACGGAGGTAGTAAAACTGTCTCCTTTATTCAACTGCCTAGATAAACCCCTAGCACCCACCTCTATTCCAAGAACTGAGATTATTACAGAGTCATTCAGGAAAACAGGTCAGGTTATGGCCTTTAGAGTAAATGTTTACTTGAGTCCTGAAAGGAAGGAAATTCCATTTTAAGATATTCTTTGGTCTTGCAAAATAATGGAGCCACTAATGGGAGCAGCAGAGGGGAGGAGCTGATGAAGGCAGGAAGGGAGGGGTTTCTTCCGAAGCACAATAACTATAATCACTAGAGCGCTGAAATTACTAGTCTTGGTGTTTGTCAAGCCTTTTCAGGAACATTCACAGTTATTTCTGTCAATCAATTTCTCTAGTTGCATGAGCTGCCTTTTTCTGTGGAGAGGGTCTCTGAAAGAGAAAAAGGAAAGAGGGCGCCCCAAACACACCCTCCCCTGTGGCAGAGTATAATGAAGTGATTCAGCACCCCAACCCAACTAGAAAGGGCTCAGAGTAACCCTCTAGCTGTGCAATTTGGGGTCTTGGAACATGCCAGACGGGTTTTTTTTCTGCATTCTTTGTTTTTTTCTTTGAAAACCTCTTTTAGGATGTCTAGGATAAGATGGATTACTGTGTCCGGGCTGATGTTTCAAGAGGCTGCTAGACAAAAACTATCTTCCTATCTCCTAGATTTTCAGACTGTTCAAAATCGCCTCCAGGAAGGGCAGGAGTGGTAGTACAGTGGGTAGGGCTTTTGCCTTGCATGCGATCAATCTGAGTTTGATCCCTGGGGCTCCATCCCAAGCCCACCTTACCTTGTGGGACAAGTTAAAGGACTTGCATTTTCTGGAGGAAACATCCAGTGAGATTCGTCAGCCCAAACTTGAATTTTGTGCCACCCTAGCTTCTTGATTGAGTCTTCTAAGAAAAAAAGATAAAGAAAGTAGAAAGTATAGGGTAGAACTTTAGAAACCCTCAGGAAAACCCAGAGCTCACTTCCAAAAGGGGCTTTGAATCAATTTACTGGGGATGAACTTCCAAATCTGTTCTAGTTTAGAAATTAATTTTGACACACTTACGTGCAGTCATGCTGTGACAGGGACATAAATGAGAAAAAAAAATCATTTTTACTAA